CAAAAAAAAAAAAAAAAAAAAACAGAAAAATTTAAGAAAAAGACCTTAATCCAATTTATCTCCACTTTTATTTTTAATGATTATCAAATTGTCATTGTGGATTATAGCTATAATTTTGTTCTAAACACTTTTGGTAGCTTACTGGTTGATCATTTGTTATAATGAATTCATTTGTTATAATGATCATCAGCCAGTAAGTATTTACTAAGGGATAAGTGATGCTAACTACTGAGCCATTACAATGGTAACAAATGAAAATTTCATCTTAATAGAACTTTAAGACTAGAGTATAACTTCTATAGAAATTATACAATCTTATTCAAAAGTAGAGAGATTGGAATAAGCAATCCTTGTGAACTTTTCAGACATTGTGATTTGTTGCTTAATTTGTTGCTAATTTTTTAGTAGTGAAATCATGAAATAATTTTCATCAAAAATTTTAATGGGATCTAAAGTATATACTTATGGTATTTGTTTAATTCTAGAGATTCTTTGAACACCTTAACCCTATGGGAAGTGCATCTGAAAAAGAGTTCACAGATTATTTGTTCAATAAATCACTAGAAATTGAACCCCGAAACTGCAAACAGCCACCTCGATTCGTAAGTCCATTACAATTTTGGAAAAATTGTTCTGTTTTTAAAAATAATATTTTCAATGTTTAACAGCCTCTTCTCTTAAAATTAGCTGTTTCTAAGTATGATACTATTTCTAAAATTATATATATCATGGGAGAAAATGTCAACATTTTGATAAAATCTGGTTTAAACTTTACCTTAATTATCACTTATTTATCTACTTTGGCCCTGCTAGAATAAGACAAAAAGGTATGAGAAAGTGAGAACCTAACAGGTAGCTGGATATAACAAAGGAAATGAAAAGATCTGAGAAAGAGTAAGCAAATGTATTATGGTTCTTCTGGCTTGACCATGACTTCTGCCATTAGGGCCCCAAGATCCATGGTTGGTACTAGAACCCGCCTCTCTCACTGTCATTTAATGCTATGTTTCCTAATTACTCCAGGGGTTTTCAGTGGCAACAGAGGTAGTAGAATGGAAGACTAATTCTAAGTAGCTGAAAGTTAAGCAAAACAAATATACCAACTTTGGACAAAGCATTAAGTTAGGTGGTTTTATGTTATCTCATTTTCACAACAATTGTATGATATTCATAGATCTTATCCTCATTTTACAAATGAAGAAACAGAGGTTCAAAGAGATTAACTAACTTTTTCAGGGCCACATAGCTAAATATTGGCACAGTTGAGATGTTAACTCACGTTTTCTGCATGTGAGTTCTGTGTTTTTTTCATTAGGTTGCTGCAGCCAGAATTTTAAAAATGGGCCAGAGGTGAGGGTGGGAGACTAGGATAGCAATTTTCTCCAAAGACTTTTAAAACCCTGTTGTAGAGGTTGATCATTTAGTATAAGGAAAGGGGAAAAAAGGGTTTTTAAAAATTTCTGAAGCATATAGCAGCATAATATGTTGCATAAATTATGTTTCCAGCAAATGTTTATAAAATTGATATAAATGATTTGAAAGAGAAGTCAAATGATTTAGGAGCAAAAAGTGGGCTTTTACATAAATTTTCAAGAATTTTATTTCTACAGTTTTGAAAAGAAATTTACTTATATTCAAGTCCACCTTAAAATTAAGCCAATCAAATCCACAAGTTTCTACTAGAATGCTATAGGCTGACCTTGCAGATAGGGGTTTTATTGTACTCTTAATTGTATGCTTAAGAATTACTAAAGTAGCTCTTAGCCATAAAAACAAAGTGCTATACATGCAAACTAGTGATGTTGATGTATTTGCTTTTCCTAGCCTAGGAAGTCAACTTTCTCCCTAAAATCTCCTGGAATAAGGCCCAACACAGGCCGACATGGCTCTACCTCAGGCACTTTACGAGGTCATCCAACGCCATTAGAAAGAGAACCATGCAAAATAAGCTTTAGTCGGATTGCTGAAACTGAGCTGGAATCAACAGTGTCAGCACCAACCTCTCCAAATACACCATCTACTCCACCAGTATCTGCTTCTTCAGACCTTAGTGTGTTTTTAGATGTGGATCTCAACAGTTCCTGTGGTAAGTGTTGATTTTACCATTTAGTAAAAAAAGGAATCTTGTGTTTCAAGATAATTCTTCTTATCTTTTTAATTAGAGAACTATAGAATCCTTTGCAGAACATACTAGTATGAAAAGTGACATGTAAATGGGAAAACAGGGATTAATACAAGGGAATAAAGCATCATTTGTGCATTGTTTATACATATTATCTTCCATTTTATTCCTTCAACAAAGATTTATTTAGTTCCTTTTGGGCTCCACTACCACTTAAAGGGAGCAATAGACAATGAGTAAGAAAACAAGTAGGTGGATGTTGGGCAGGGGGAGGGGGGAGGAGGGGACGGGCATGTGCACAAACAATGAGTGCGGTGCGCACCTCCCGGGGAGTGGACACACTTGAAGCTCGGACTTGGGGGGGAGGGGGGGCAAGGGCATCATATGTAACCTAATCATCTGTACCCCCATAATATGCTGAAATAAAAAAATAAAATAAAAAAAAAAAGAAAACAAGTAGGTACGTTCTGTAAGGAAAGTTTAAAAAGGGACTGTGATAGGGAACCACTTATGCTAAGAAGGAAAAACATTCCAGGTACAAAGAATACTGAGTTCATTTTTTTAAAAACTAACGTGCAAAAGATGGTGATAAAATTCTGTGCTGTGTGTGTATTACATGTTGCTTTGTGCAACATTTAAAGAATAAAATCATACATGTTACCATCTTTTTAAATTAATTTTTCTTACTCCAATAGGCAGCAATAGCATCTTTGCTCCAGTGCTCTTGCCACATTCAAGTAAGTAAGACTATAAGCAAATTCTAATGAAATGACTGTAAAGATAATAATCTGGTTGATTATATTTGAGTATTTTGGGTTTTAGCAACATTTAAAGAATAAGGAAAGTTATAAATAAATGGAACTATTTGCATACAACTGTGTACTATTTAAGCTTTAGTATAGTTTATTTCATCATTTTATGGTCTATATTCTAGGGGCTATATGACCTTGAACAAATTACTTACCATCTCCAAACTTGTTAAGATCAAATGAAATAATTATGTAGAACAACACCTAGCACATTTCTTGGCACAGAATGAATAGTAATTTCATATCAGTTGCCTCTCTTCCTCCTTATCCCTTCTAATCTATTTTCCCATAGGAATAATATACTCAATGCTTATCAGGTTCCTGGGCTAACCTTCAATCACTTATTTCTTCACATTATTTTATTTAATTAAAGTG